TAATTTTGATGGCATGTTCAATTCTATAGAATAGCCAGAAATCTATCCAAAGACCTCACAGAACAATATGGGATAGAAGCTATAATTAAATAATATAGATTCTCCATAAACAAAAAACTGAGTAATATTCAGTCATGTGATGGTCTAAGAGAAAGCAATGGAGAGAAAAGAGATTGATTAACTACAGTTGCTCTACAATTTTAATAGACATTAAATTAACATGCTCAGCATAAGCTAATAAACACAATCTAGATCTACAAAAGTGTGACTTTCAAAAATACTATTAAAGTATATATATATATATATATATATATATAGTACCAAAAGATACTAATAAACTCATTTACTGAAATGCATCATCAAAAATATAAGTAAACTGACTTATTAGCAAAGCTAAAACAAGAATATTCAGGCCCTTTATATACAACATTTGATAAAGGAAAATCTACTACAAACTTATAAGATCCAATTTATTTCATTTGCCCAGCATCCATTAAGTTTTTATTTTGTAACACATGCTACTTAAAATTAATAAACTAGGGGGCTGGGGATTTAGCTCAGTGGCATAAGTACCTGCCTTGCAAGCAGGCGGCCGTGAGTTCGATCCCCAGTACCGATAAAAATGAAAAAGAGGAAAAAAAAATTAATAAACTATTTTTCTTCCCAAGTCTTCCAGCTTGATCTTAAATTCAAGCTATACATTCTCTCTCAATTTGATCTGAATAAACCAGAAAAGAAGAAATGTATGATAAGTCCATCAAAACAAAAATTAAAATTATCACAATATGCAAAGACAATACCAATATGTAATATGTACTACAAAAACAGTACATACTGTCCACCATTTATTTGAATACAGAAAATACAACATTTCGCAACATCAAGAGAAACATTGCTATGCATAAATGAGATTTATGAATATTTCCATTAAAAATAACATTTTTAGAATTAATAGCAGTAGTAAGGCATAAACGGCTATAATTTAAACTGAATCTATATATTAGAAGCACCAATATAGAACTGTCTGATAGCTAAATCTTATTTTTAAGATTGTCTTAAAAAAGTCATGGAGAAAAATAACAGTCAGACCTATTGCAAAAAAAATTTAAGAACTAAATGTGATTAATCTAGTATTAGACAACAGTTTTCTCAGATGTGAATCAAATATGAATTCATAAATGTATAGTATACTCTGAAGATGTATTTTCGGTTTTCTAAAATATGTAGCCCGTTCATGAACATACCTCACCAAAGTACAGAAACGCTTCTGAAGAGAATATGTATTGAACATTAGTGAGAAGTGTGCTAAGAAGGAAGGGTATAAAATGAAGAAGACCTGCCATCACTCTTAAGGAGTTTATGACCTGGTGGAGTGACAAGCAAGTAAACAGATCAGGTTTCAGACGTGAGGGATGAGTGCTGCTTAGAGGTAAATGCCAAAAGGTTGTGACAGCTCATCAGAGAGGCCATGCCCACCGTGCCTTCCCATTATGGCCAGCTCACATGGCTCACATGGCTAACGGAATCAAGGCAAAGCTCAAGAAGGTTGACCAGAAGGAGTGATGCCTACAATCAATCTTCAAGAATAACAGGCTACTCTGCAGGGGAAGAGGCCCACGTGGGAAGAAGCTCTACAACAACCTCAGAAACCCTGGAGATTCAGAGCACTGACCGAAGCCTGAAATTTTGTGCTTGACTATACCCACAATCCTCTCCTATGGGCAGGACAGGGCTCATGAAGGGCAAAAAAGGGAAGCAGGGATGTGGTCAGGGATGTGTTTTAGAAAGTCAATCCCAGAGGCAGCATAAAGCGAGTAAGGCAGTCAAAAATTAAAGATCCAAAATAAAGACACCAGGGCAAAGAGAACAGCTTTGAGAGAGAATAAAATTAGGAACAGACAGAACGTTGAGATGCATGATGAAAGGCAAATGACCACCTATTTTCAGCTCTAATCTGTTCTGTGGCTGGTGATGCTCTTTACTGAGATGTACAATAACTGCCCTGGAAGAATAAATGAGAAAAACTGGCAAGAGGAGATACGGTGAGTTCAATTTTCACACGCTCAGTTTGTGCACCTATAAACTTCCAAGCAGGTATTTCCAGAAGGAAATGGAAGAGCATTAAATATTAAACTATTAAACAGATTTTATTGATTTTTTTTGATACTGGGAATTGAACTCATGACCATGCACTTGCCAGGCAGGGGTGTGTGCTTCTGAGCTGTATCTCCGACTGCACAAAATATTCTTTAACCTTCCAATATTTGTAATAGAAACTAACACCAAAAGTCTAAGTGATGACTGTATAAGCATTTCAGGTAATATCTTTTTATTTTCACCCCTACACTGAAGACGAAGAACAGTTTAAATTCTGAGTGGTTATAGACATTTAAATGCAATAGGTGACTGGTTTTACAACTCAAAACTATACAATGTTGTTCAAGCAAAATACAAGTTTCAGGATCAGATAAAAGTGGGTTTAGTTCTAAGCTCTGGTGCCAAACAACAGCTTTCTCATGTGTAAAATAATGGCCTCTAGCATTATTCTGCAAAGATATAGTAAGGGAGGGAGAAAGGTAGCTACTGTTAGCTACTGGTAGCTACTGTTAGATCTGTGGCATAAATAGTGTAAGTGGTACCACTGTGGCATAAATGGTACCTACTACTAGATCTGTGCCTAGAGAAAGAATTCTGCTTAAAGTAAAATAGCTATGATGTAAATATATTCCCTTTGTCTTACTATGCACTTTATTTAAATTCTACCCTTCTTTATTCTATATTTCAATAAATGTACCACTCTTGAGACATTAAAATGTTCCACAAAATTCAAAGTCATTTAAAGATTTTGTTCAAATGTAAATAACCTTGATGCAAAGGATCATATTTTGATATATCTATAGTGCTAAATTCCACAATAAGACACCCCAAAATGATCACCTATGTTGATGTTACGAAAGGATCTTTGGACTTGGAGTCAGAAGACCAGTGCGAAGTCTCAGCTCTGCCACTGGCCAGCCACATCATCACGGGCAAATCATTTAGCAGCTCTAAGTGGCCCTGTGAACATTTACGGGTTGAACAGATTGGTCTTCGTGTTCTAAATCTAAATTTAGCAAATAGGGGCAAGCTGAGAGAACTGGAAAGGCACTTTAGATTGTTGGTTCTCAAGTCTGGCTGCATATTAGCATGACTAGGACCTTTAAGAAAACTATTTTTAAAAATAATAACCTTAAAACATTATTGGAAGGATGTCAGGATTATTGTAAACACATTATCTACAAATTCTAGATATTATTTCTAAAAGATGATATGGGACACCTCACTTATACTGAAACATACAAACAATATTGTCTTTTAACCTCAACTGCATGAAAAACAAATTTATTTATTTATTTATTTTTGTACCAGGAATCAAACTCATGACCTTCCACTTGCCAAGCAGGGGCTTGTGCCACTGAGTTACATCCCTTGCCAAAAATTCTTTCTTGTGTACACACACACACACACACACACACACACTGAAAGGATGAACCACCCTTTATGTAAAGGCTCTGCCTGCTTTAGTGCTTAAGTTTCATGTTCCCAGAAACCTCTGTCTCTAGAAAACGGGGATGAGTTGATCACCAGTCACAAACACACACACACACACACACACACACACACACACACACACACACACACACACAGATGCACAGACGTGCACGTGTGTGTGAACATTCTTAATTGACCTTCAATGTGTTAGAAGAAAGTATAGATCGCCAGTGCTCCTCTCATGCATGCCTTCATCCCTCCTGACTGTCAGGTACACCGTGACACTTGCAGACCTCCGATTCCAGCAAGACTCAAAATATCCAACACGCAAGCATTCGGGCTGACTAGCATCCACTTGGGATGGGGATATACTATAATATTTACATTCAATAACCAGCACTTCAGAAAAAAAATTTTGAAGCCTATGTCTCCTGGTTGTCACTTCTGTTCTTTACTAAAAATGTTACACAATTTTCCAGAACAGTATCTCTATTTGACAGATTTCATAGTTTCTTAGCACTGTAACTGTTACATCTTTTTCCTGCAATGAAGCTACATGAAATGAATAATAACATATAATGAAATTAGTCTAAACCCATGTTTTATCTAAATTAAAGATATGACAATTATTTCTAAAACATCTGCTGGAAACACATGAAATCAGTTTAGAATGCTAGGTAAACACCAAAGCAAACATATATGACGTTATTATACACAACAAATGTCTTCTTCTCCGTAGCCTGATGGAGAATTCAGACTTTTAAGATTAATCATGACCATGAAAGTTCCTAAGGAACAGCCTCAGTCTGAATAACACACTCTTGGCAAATGCATCTGCTCCTCCCTTTGATATCACTGTGTGCAGACAGCTCGGCAACAGTCTCTAGGGGTGTGGAGAAATTCTCCGTCTAGTTGAACATAGTAAAGAACTAGTGTCACAGTAAACTACTAATGAGGTAGGAGGAAAGACCACATAAAGCCTTCCTCTTCAGGAAATCAGAATTCTCAATGGATTGTCACCAAACTAGCAATAAACCTAATAAGATAAGGAATACCCCTGAGCAATGTGGTTTCCATCCTTGAAATGAGCAAAAAGCATGCTAATTATATACTTTCTCCTGTTATGCTTCTGATAGCCAAAAATATGCATGCTACCCAGTATATCTGGAATAAAAGAGTATAAAGGAAGTGCATAAAAGTTCAGACTGTCTAAAAACACAGCACCATTTCAACACCCTCGTCTCTCTATCGCTGGCTTTCCAAGGTAGGGAATCAAGAGAGATACAAAAATGTGACATCATCATTAAACAGAAACAGCACACATCTCTAATGGTCAGTTTTATGGCCTTAGAATCCAAAAAGCACAAAAAACTTACTGTTTACAAAATATGTATCTTAAGTATGGTTTGGAGCAATTACATCATGTCTTTTTTCTTTTTTAACAAAACTGAGGTTCGATTCAGACTTACTGATTGTTCATTTAAATCCTGGGAGTCTTCCATGTGGTTTTCTCACTTTTCCTGCCACTCCCAAGTAGAAGCAGCTTCCTTCAATTACAAATGGACTATCTAAAACCAAAAGATGGAAATAAAGGGGAAAAAGAGAGGGTTATCTTTTCATTCATTTGTAAAATTACTAAAACATATTAAGATTTAGCAGAGCTGTTGGTGATTTGTAGGAGAATTTTCTGAAGAACAGAATTCACTCATATTATCTCTATAGATGATTAAATAGTAATCTTGTGAATGATATCATGGTTGGGATATGTATACACCCACCTACTCAAGAATCCTGCAGGTCAACAAAAATACCTAAAGACAACTTTAGAGACATAATCCACAATATGTGGATTAGCTCATTTGCTGAAAGAAGTCTGTCAATAAATAATAGGCTAAAAATTTTAAACTTCATTAATCACTGTTTTAAAAGTACATAATATAAACTTAGGAAATGGAAATATGCATTTCAGTGTAATAGATTCACAACAGGAAAATGTGTCTCAATTACCAGATGGTCATGTTCACTTCCGAGAATGCAATGTTAAAAAATGCACAACCAATTTTAAAAAAAAAGTGACAATAAAACTCAAGAAAAAGAGGGTCTAGCAAAGATATATGGGGAGGAAAACTGGTCAATAAACTAGTGGGATAATCAGTTAAGTACCCAAGCAAGTTTAAAATTACATTTTCAGTTAAACTGAAGTGCAAATAAACCCTAAGAAAAGTCAGAATAAATTTTGAATTCCCAGATATCTTACTATTAGAAGATAACACAAAAAATTCAAATATCCCTCTAAATCCTCAATTTTTGTTTCTGTATTTTTCTCTCCCCCACACTCATCCACCCACCCACACACCCACCCACACAATCAAAATTCAAAGCTACATAAAAATCTTACAAGGTATACCTTCCTTCACAAATCAAACACAATGGGCTAACATCCTTAGCATGTAATGAGCTGCTACAATTCAAATATAGAAATATATAAAATTACTGCCAATCACAATGTTCAAACTCACAAATAAATATAATTTAAAATAACTATGTTTCCCAGAAAAATTGAAAATGTCATGTCACAGCAATTTATATGCACCCATATCTATAGCAGCACAATTTTTAATAGCTAAACCTTGGAAACAACCAAAATGCCCATCAAATGCAGAATGGATGAAAAACATGTAATATTTTTATACAATAGAATATTACTCAGCTATAAAAAAGGATAGTTTTGAAGCTTTTCTAGGTAAATAAAGGCAACTTGAGATGATACAAGTAAAATATATCAGACTCACATTTGTAAATATCGTATTGTCTCTGCAAAAAAAAAATGAGTAATAATATCCAAAGTGTAACATGGAAACTGTAATAATGAAAGCCAAAGAAAGTGCTCACAAGGACAGAACTACTCAGGGAATATTTAGGGACATCAACACTTTGGAAATGACGATTTAAGTGGAAAAGTATTTCATATAGAAACAAGAGGCTACCAGTGAAGTATACTATCAGTGCAGCGAGTGTGTAACTGAGAGTCTCATATGTCCACTATCTATTCCTTACCCAGGCAGACGTGTTCTTAATTTCTTTATTTTGTGCTTCTCAGTGCTTTCAAACTAAAACTGTTACCTTTCTTACTATAATGCAACACATTTTAAAATTACAAAGGGAGTTTAAAATATAAGTTCTAAAATATCCTATGCTTATACACAGAGACACACGTCAATGATGCTATTTTTCATGAACAGATATGTCAGAAAATGATAATGAAACTTACACATAATGTGCGTCATCTCAACACGACAATAGTTTAAAAATATTCCACTACTAGGAAACCATCATTTTGAAAAGAAATGCTATTTTCAAGAGTGTATAAAATGGGGAAAAGTGGTGTAAAGAATATTATGAAATATACTGAAGAGTGTAACCCTTCAGGAGTGGGCTGAGAAGTGTTGATGGGAAAGGTCCAATTTCCACCCTCTTACTCAGGGCTTCATTTTGTTCCTCTGCCTCATCCATACAACTAGGTCTCTCTTTCTAGTCCTAGTTCCTGTGCCTCCCTAGTTCGTTCCTTTCCTAGCAGAAGTCCAGAGCTGATCTTTGTTCCTCACAGGCCCAAGGACCCATGCTAGCTTGAGATATGTGTCTCATAAAAGTAGGGCCTTTTGTCCGCCTGAGTGCACCGGTCTGCACATCTGCCCAACTCACAGGACCTTCCTCCATCCTCCCAGAAGGATGTTTTATTTTGGCAGTAAAACAAATAAAATCTCATTGTCCCCACTACAAGGATACTGAAAAACTAAAACTAAATGATGCTAAAATGGCCTTAGAGGGTCAGTTAAAACTGTAGCATACAGTGAAAATGAATTTCTAAGTCAGATTCCAAGTGGCCTTACCACAAATGTAATTATTATGTACTGCAAAGATGTACTAATAAAAGATTCTTCTAAATTTAACTTTTAAAGGCAAAACAATATCTTAAAGGGAAGATAATGCATGTCTTTCATATGAGAGCAACCTATAGCCTCCACCTCAGGGCTGGGAAATTTTAGGTGTACAATAAATGTAGATTGAATGAAGGACACAATTGACCTCATGGTGTAATGAAAACACTAAACAGATTGTAATTATAGTTTTGGACCTCGTATCTCAGATATATGACTTTCCGCTAAAATCTGTCTTGCTGATACCATTTTCAATTTTGTGATTTCCTTCATTTTACGTTTTACTTTGTATCTGGGCACTAGAAAGAGAAACATTTGAAGAAATATTATTACTAAAGAGACTATTTCAACTTTTCATAAAATTTAACATTGAAAGTGATCTACCAGATAATTTCCTGCTCATCCGACTTAAAAACAGATATATGCCTATTGGCATGGACAAGTTTAAATCTATTGTTTAAAAATGTAGCATGTTGTATCAGTTTGTAAGTCTGATAATCCACAAACTGGGTGGATTAACAGATATGCATTCATTCTGGCATGGTTCAATAAAGTAGAGGTTCCATGTCAAGGCACTGGTAGATCTATGCTCCTTTCTTGACAGGAAAAAAATCTTTCTTTGTGCCCTTCTGGCCTTTGGTGGTCGCTGGAAGTCACTGGCCCTCCCACACTCTTCCTCCTCTTCACAAGGCACACCCCAGTCTCTCTCTTCCTGTGACCTTCTTTGGTGACCTTCTCCGTGTGTCTTAGGACAGATTCCTCCTCTCTTAGGTATACTAGTATTTGAATTAGGGCCCATCCTTGTCCAGGAAGACTTCATTGTAACTTAATGACTCTTTTTTCAAATAAAGTCACCTTGCAAGTACAGGATAAGGATTTAAACTATCTTTTAGAGGACATGATTCCTCTGAAACATGTGCAATTATCACACTGAAAATATTTCAGGATGCGGTCAAAGTTTAATTGTAGTATTTCTAGAAAGGATCCATAAGAATTACATTAAGAGAAAGAAACGATAATTTTCTAAAGAACCACTACCTCAGTACACTTTTTTCTAACTTGAGGAAAACTAAAGTTAAGGCTTTAGGAAAGATATTGAAGCATAGAAAATGAATCAAAAATTATCACTATCTTTTTTGTAAGCCATCAAATCTAATGCTCCAGTTTTGGAGTTATTTGTATCAATGTCCCATATTACAACATAATACTTTGTTTTATACTTCCTTGATATTTGGCCTGTTTTTTGGCTTTAGTTTTAACAGTAGCATGATTTCCATTCTTTGCCAAACTCACTAAGATACCAAAATGTTATGAGCCCTGTAATTTTATATTATTGAACCAAGTAAAACTACCTAGGTTAATTGCAGACTGTATTACTTTACCTCATAATTTGGAAACAGTTGTTATGTTAAATCCTTTACCATTTAGTTTTCACAAATATATGAGAAAAGGATGAGAACAATCTTCAGATTACATAAGAAAAGTATTACCTTACAATAAAGATATAAAATTAAGAAACAGCAGTAACCTCGTGCCATTTTATGAGGCAATAATCTAGCTCCCAACTCTATTGCAAGGCCATTCCTCCAGAAAAAGTGAGTTTTAAACCAACACTAGCAACTCCACTCTCTCCATCTGAATTCTTTCTCCTTCAGTCAAGCATTGAAGATATACACACAGTTCATCTCACCCCTGAAATCTGCAGCAGAAGTGAGCTATCAACTCTCGCATCTTATACCTAAAGTTAGAATAAAATTTTAACAATTTTTAATTCAAATGTAAGATACAGATACAGCCATATTTAGATTTTACCAAAATTCACAGAAATGTAATGAAACAACACAGGTAGTCTAGATGGGGGATTTCAGCAAGGGACCCTCACCTTTAAGGAATGGGAAGAGGTTACAGGGGGTTCTGTGATGGGGACCTGATCCTCTGTCTTTCTAATAAACCTGCAACTAGAAACCGATTTGAAAAAGATCTGGATCTTCTGCTAGAGGCAAAGGGACCAAGAGATGGGAAGAGGAGGCGGGAGGGGAAGGGGATGCAAAAAGAATTAAAATGTGTTATGCACATGTACAAACTCCTCACCACAAATGTAATCATTTTGTGTGATAAACATACACCAATAAATTGTTCTAAATAAAAAATGAAACAGAATAAAACACAAGTTGGATTGTCCGGGCACACTTACTCTAACCAAAGGAACAGGACCACCAAAAGATAAGTCTCATCTCTCAGCCAGGGTTGTGTGGACCAAGGACCGCAGCTGCACATGGGGTCACCAGACCTTTGGGTTCTGCACACCAACGGCACCCCCTTCTCCCAGGCATGGAAGCCACACACCCGGCCTTCATCACTGCCTCTGCTCCTGCACTCAAGAAGAAACCACTGCACCGAAGACACCACCAAGCCTTCTTGATACCCCCAAAATCTGCTCCAGTCCCCTCAAGCTCCTTGCTTTTCATCACCCCTACATGAGTCCAAGCTACCACTGGTCTTTGCTCAGACTAGAGCAAATCCACATTTTAAAGGCTGCCTTCCTCCTAGTCCTGATCTGTGGGCCTCGCATGTCACAGCACAGCCTGAGTGATGATTCTACAAAACAGATCTGACTGCACTCCCCTAAA